TTCATACAGACATACATACATTACATCATACATACATACATACATTACATTACATTACACTTACATACATACCTTACATACCTGCATACCTACAAACATAACATTACATTACATTACACTACATACATTACATACCGTAACATACCACATTACTTTTACTTCCACTACATTACTTTCGCATAAATTTCATATTACATACATTACATACATACATACATACATACATACATACATACATTGCATACACACATACATACATACATACATACATACATACATACATACATACATACATACATACATACATACATACATTACATACATACATACATACATAACATAACATAACATAACATAACATAACATAACATAACATAACATAACATAACATAACATTACATACATACATACATACATACATACATACATTACATACATACATACATTACATACATACATACATACATACATACATACATTACATACATACATACATACATTGTATACATACATACATACATACATACATACATACATACATACATACATACATACATACATACATACATACATTACATACATTACATAAATTACATAAATTACATACATTACATTACATCACATCACATCACATCACATCACATAACATACATACATTACATTACATTACATCACATTAGGTTACATTACATGACATTACATAACATTACATTACATACATATATACATTGACATTCTGTTGTGATTTGACTGCCCGACCATTTTGCTGCAGTGGCAAGTGTGTGCACATCTGTCTGTAAGCGGTGATACCGCACGCACCTCAGGAGAAAGCGGCTTGAGAATGGAAAATGGGGCATGGTTCACTTCTGAATGCAAAAGGCGCAAGCTAGAAATATATATATATATATGTGTCTCTCTCTCTCTCTCTGAATGATTATGTAGATATATTTTCTCAGGGGAAATGCTGCACGGACTCGAACCCCGTCTGCCCTCATCGCCGGGTTGTTCATGCGCTAATAGCCCGTTTTTGCGATCTAGCCTATAGCTGTCCACACGAGTCCTCCCTGCCAAGGTTTTTAGGGCTGGCATATATCCACTTGACGTTAACCCCGGGGATGATGCCCCCACCCAAGCCAAGCATCCCAGGAGTTCTGCCAAACCCAATGGCTAGCGGACATCTCCGCCGCGGCCGCAGGATATGCCTGGGCTGATAGGCAAAGGCCTACCCCGGCCCAAACGCAGCACAAAAAAAAGGTGACAATATACAATGAAGTAGTTATTACCCCCATCATGAAAAAGGGCACCAAATTCAACACAGTGATTCTTTGCTCTGAAAAATGCGGCGCGCCCAGCCCCAGCGACACGCCACGCCACCACTACCAGTACCTCGCTCGTCTAAGTATTGGGAAAAGCCAGAAATTGTCTGCAAACCATCCCCATCACTTATGCAAACGGGCCCAGCCGACACATTTCCAAGGGGGTAGGTAGTCCATGGCCTCCCCAAAACCCAAATAATATAAGTAAAAAATGGCATCCATTTGTGCAAACTGTTTCCAGGCCAAATAAACAAACCGCTGCTAAACCAATACTATGCCGACTCTAAACAAACTCGGCCAGCTCAAAGGAATCCTCAAACAAATCCCAGTACTAGGCAGGGAGAACCGAAGACAACCGAAAACAACCGAAGCATACTAAACTCGTACAAACTAAACCAATACTAACCAATACTGAGCCAGCACCAAAGCTGCACAAATCGATACCAAATCAATACTAAGCCACTTGGGAAAGCCCGATCCGACCCCCAAATTGTTTTTCCGCTTTTCTTGATTGGGGCTCCCCAATACTTGCTTGCGAGGGGGGGGCCTTTGGTATTAAGGCATCCACATTAAGCGTTGGGTTCTGCCTGCGCCAATGCCAGTCATGTCGCCTGAGGCGCCGCCGAATGACACTGGCAAGGCGAAGGCGCAGGACAAGGAGCCGGCAACGGCGGGTGCGGCGTTGGGCCAGTCCTAGGCGCTGGCAGCTGCCCAGTGGCAGTGGGTCCAGGCGCTGGCAGCGCTTGCTGCGATGGATGCAGGGGGAACACGCTCTCGCAAGTGGGTTGACTGCCTTTGTAGATGGCAATCTGGCCGTGGAGGTGGAACCATTTCACACCACCTGGCTCAGGTCACAATTGCCACTATAGAAAGATGTGTTGCGTCACCATCCCAGAGGACAACAAAACAAACAAACAAAAAAAGCGTGTTGGGGTCCATGGCTTCTCTATCAAGATTTGGTTGGCGGCCATAACATGAGTCACCCCAGCTAGGCAAACACACTTGTATGAGCTCCTTGTGAACTTCCATGCAGCTGCCGGCACCTCCTGGGACGTTCCACTGCTGAGTCCATCCAGGCGCAGTGGCGATTCGCCGAATGTCTTCGCCGGGTTGTAGTTCTCAGTGGCTGCCACAGACGGAATGACCCCCCCGGCATATGTAAGCATGTGTACACTTACACATATACGTATATATGAGTATATTCTGCCAATGAACATGTATACACATGTACATGTAGATATGTATATATATATATATATCTATTCCTATATGTATCGTGAGTGTGTCTTTGCGTGGCAGTGCCTATCTCTTGCCGTCTCTGTAACACTGTACGTGTGCTTGTGTAATGATCCAACTCTTTGTGGAGGTGCACGTTCTCTGCGGGATGCCATTGATGGCCTTCTCTATCAAATCAAAAAACACCTTCTTCTAATAATAAAGGTCCCCTAACAGTACAAACAAACACAATTCCACGGCAGGGAATACTTGGTTTGGAATAGCCAATTTGAAACCAACCCTCGCTAAACCAATGACTTCCTCTACCACTGGGGGTTCAAAACCGCCCAATTTCTTTCAGACCCACTGGTTCTGCACCCCACCTTGAACCGTTTAAACCCCCCTTAAAACTTGCATCATGTAAGTTGCTTTGACCGGGGAAGGAAAGTGTACTTTGTGCTACAACTAAAGCTAGTCTCTGGCATGACAAAACCAACAAAAACACAGGCCCCCAGACAAACGTGTGCTTGCTGCTTTTCTGGCAAAGCGAGTTGCTGCTGCAAAATGAACAGGTCTATGTGTGTCCATTTCTTTCCATGTGGTTGATGTTGAGTTGGGTTCCTAGCTTGCTACACCACCTCCCACATCACGGGCGGGCCAAGTGCAAAAATAAAAGGCCAGTCCTGATCACAGTTGCTGCGTCCTTTGCCTTGAAACATTTTGTCAGACCCACCCCGTGATGGTATCTCGGCGTCCTGCGCTTCCCCGGTTTCCATTCAGGCATGCCCCTCCGCTGAACTGACAAACGCAGCAGAAGCCAATAGGCAAAAACAAAAGCCTCTAGGAAACTGCAGGGCCCACGACAAAACAGTACTGCTGGCCCCCTGTCCGTCCGCCCGTGGTCTACTTGAATTCCTCCGGTCAAGTTAAGTATTCCGGCCCATACTAGACCGCAATTCGAAATACTGCAACTCCCCTGGCACGTTCTGACATCAATACATTCAGGGGGACCGACAGATCCCAGCGCTGAAGCTACGAAAGCAGTGAGAGCGAAACAGTCGGCCACACGCCACTTTCGAGGCTGGGATCAGACACTGCCCTGAACAAACCCAACAAAAGAAAGGAGGGACAAAGTGTTTTTTTGCCTACCCACAGCTGCGGTTTCGGCGCATTCGAACTCTCATGCCCTTGAGGCCGCGCAATATCAGGCTTCCCCGCCCAAACCCGCAGAATAAGAGGCTTACCCCATTGTGTCCCCAGCATCACCGGACACCCCCACAGTCCACAATCGAAAGTTGTGAGCACTTCTGTCTGCCCTCCACCACCAATTTCATTGTTCGAATGCATTGTTGGTTCTTGAGTTTGTTATTTGGCCCCCAAAGAAAGGCAGATCTTGGCATTGCCCAAGCGCCAATGGGCCAAGACACGACAGCAAAGGTTCTTGAAGTGCTTGTCTGCGGGCAGGTGGCCCGCAAAGTCACCGACGTTCGGGCAGAAGTTGCAACTCGGGTAGATCTCAGGGGATGCATCACAGCCGCAGCGAGAGGCTTCGAAACTGCGCATTCACATCTTAAGCTTGAAGAAAACCCAGCACAATGGCTGTGTTATCAATCTACTTGTAGCCGGTGCTGGGCCACGTTGATTTCTTCATACGTCAAGTTACCTGCAAGCCGCAGCCCCTGCTTGGTTCGACTGCATGTCCCACAGGATGTTGTTGCTTTGATCACACCGGAATACCGGGCCTCAGTTTATTCTATTGTGGGTTCCAGGCGTCATGCTGGCTCAAAATGCAGAATCACCAGACACGGAGTCCAAATGCCAAACGAATCCTGATTGAGCATCTATCAACCGGGCAATTGCCAATTGCGGGTCTTGCCTCAACTTATGTTCTCTTTGTTCAGCCTCATGATGCCGAATTCACGAAGTAAAGCAAACCTATCAAGCAAATCATGGGAAGATACTGGCCTTCATCTCCATTGGAAATTTGCCAGTGCTACAATGCATGATGGGGTTTGAGGCACCCAAATCGAATCGTGAGCTGCACAGCTGGCCTGGTAGCGAGTGAGAATGTCCTCCAATTTCTGCACGGGATCCTCAACATGCAGTTTTGGCGCGGGATCGGACTGGCAAGGATCGAATCATGAAGGGTAAAGGGCGTGCTGAAAGCAAACAATCTCCAGAACATGGCTCCAAGATCGAACAGGTCAGGGCGTGCCTCACTTTGCTCGCGTCGGCATTGGCGGGTTGGGATTGGACTTGTTGATCTTGCTGTTCCCTGGAGCAGTGGGGCACGTGCTCTTGCCACTCATCCATCTAGATCAGTCCGAACCAGATATTTATATTCATTAGGAAATAGGATTATATCTCCAGAAAACCAGAACTTCTATAATATAAGCATTACATTGCATGGCTTTCTTATGATCTTCTTTTTAGTAATGCCTGGCTTGTTTGGAGGATTTGGAAATTATTTTGTACCTATCCTTCAAGGATCTCCAGAAGTGGTATATCCTAGAGTCAATATTTTTTCTATCATAATTATTTTACTTTCATATCTTTTCCTAATCCTTTCTTTAATCTCAGAATTTGGAGGTGGTACAGGATGGACATTATATCCACCATTATCCACTTCTTTTATGACTTTATCACCTTCAAGTACAGGAAATCTTATATTAGGATTATTAATCTCTGGTATATCTTCATGTCTTACATCTCTTAACTTTTGGACAACAATTCTAAATCTGAGATCTTATATTACAGACTATCCCATTATTTCCTTTCCCTTTCTTGATTACAGCTTTCATGCTTTTATTAACATTACCTATCTTATCTGGTACACTTCTTTTAATGTTGGGTGATCTTCATTCTAATACACGTTTCTTTGATCCAATATTTGGAGGAGATCCTATATTCTATCAACATTTACTTTTGTTTTTTGGACATCCAGAAGTTTACATCTTAATCTGGGATCATTTCCATAATAATTTCTGGGATTTTACAGTTAATAATCTTTGCTAAGCAATCAATTATCTTTGCCATGTCATCGATTTCTCTTCTTGGAAGTCTTGTTTGGGGACATCATATGTATACTGTAGGTTTAGAAAGTGATACAAGAGCTTATTTTACAGGAGTTACAATCTTAATATCTTTACCAACTGGTACAAAAATCTTTAATTGGCTTTTACATATCTCTCCAATCCATCTTTATTACACCTTAGAATTACTTCTGTCTTCTTCTTTCTTCTCTTTTTATTAATGTTTACTATAGGTGGGTCAACAGGAATAATTCTATTTTGTTCTTTCTTTAGGAGCTATAATTGCTATCTTCTCTGGAATAATCTTCGACCATATACACTTCCACAGAGCTAACCTTCAGATCCAGATTGAAATGCTACCGAATACTATCGAGCACCTCAGCGGATTTTCGCTCAAGGTATCTGCTTCAGCTGCTTTAGGCGGCTGTGTCCACATGTGTCGAAACTTCGGCATCTGCCGGTCCTTCATGGATTTCTTCCAACCTGCCCTTGACTGCAGCCAATGGCAGCAATTGAAGTCCCCGCCTGGCCGCGCTGTGCCGATCCCGTCAGTTCTTCGAAATTGGGGGCCCCAGCCAACATAGGGTTTCATATGGTTTCATATGGTTTCTTGCAGTTTTGTTGGGTGAAGCCAAAATGGAACCAAGGGTCCCCAATCTTCAAACACTGCCACTACAAAACCGGCAGATATTTCAAAGCAGCATCCTGGGTCCGTAACATTTTCAAACAACGCTTTAAGTTAACATCCTGCAAGTTTCAGTTCATTCAACTTGCAAATGAATACAACCGCGCGCCTTGCTTTTGTGGATCGCCCACTGGCGGTAGCAGCTTGTACCACTTGTTGGGCTCAGGGCACATGTCCTCAGCTGGCGCAAATTGCTGACCCCCGGACTTCCAAGCGGAAAGCAAGTAACCAAACGATCCAGAGTGAATCAGCGCCTTCTGAGCCAAAGCCCCGACGTTTCACCGGAATGTCCGTCGACTTCCATGAAATGTCAGCACGCGCGACGGCTATGTTCTTTGAATCCTCCGGTCACTTCGACTCCCACCATTGGGGCCATTCTGGTCAAGAAGCCTGGCGGTTCGGTTTTGCTTGCCAAGAAGCCAGCACGCCGAGAGAGCCTTGAGGCGGTCCTGCATCGAGCCCAGGCCGCTCTGCAAGTCTTCCGTCCGCCCTTGTAAGAGACCCTAAAAGCAGCATTGCAGAAAGCACAAGCCTCCCAACTCTGCGCTTGAGAGAGCAAGGTCCCCCCTGTGGCCTCCCATCGGGGACACGGCAGGCGCGCATGCTGGAGGTACCTGCTGCCATGGCATTGGCTGCATTGGCAGCATTTGGCTCGGCGGCACACCTGAAAGCGCAGGAAGAGGCGCGCCCCAGCTTCACATACATCGTCGTGAAAATGACCCAAGGCCCCCAAAAAGGAGCCAAGGGAACTTTCCATTCGGAGTGACGTTCCCACGCGTCGCCATGCTTGCCAGCGGCTGGATCTTGAAAAAAATGCACACACACACAGGGAAAGACACATGAAACGCAGAGACAGACACACACAGACACACAGACACACACACACAGAGACAGACAAACACACACAGACACACAGACGCACAAACGCACAGATACACACACACAAAGACACACAGCCGGACACGCAGACACAGACACAGACACAGACACAGACACAGACACAGACACAGACACAGACACAGACAGAGACAGAGACCGAGACAGAGACAGAGACAGAGACAGAGACAGAGACAGAGACAGAGACAGAGACAGAGACAGAGACAGACACAGACACAGACACAGACACAGACACAGACACAGACACAGACACAGACACAGACACACACACAGACACAGAAACAGACACAGACACAGACACAGACACAGAAACAGAGACAGAGACAGAGACAGAGACACAGACACAGACACGCGCATGCGCACCCGCACGCGCAAGCGCACACTCACCCACCCACCCACCCACCCACCCACCCACCCACCCACCCACCCACCCACCCACCCACCCACCCACCCACCCACCCACCCACACACACACACACACACACACACACACACACGCACACGCACGAGCACGCGCACGCGCACGCGCACGCGCACGCGCACGCGCACACACGCACACACGCACACACGCACACACGCACACACGCACACACGCGCGCACACGCACACGCACACACATACACACACCGACACACACACACACACAAACACACACACACACACAGACACACAGCCAGAAACACACACACACACACAGACACAGACACAGACACAGACACAGACACAGACACAGACACAGACACAGACACACACAAACACAAAGACACAGAGAGGCACACAGAGACACACAGAGAGACACACAGAGAGAGAAACAGAGACACACACACACACAGCGGACACAGACAGAGACAGACAGACACAGACACAGACACACAGACGCACAAAGAGGCAAACAAAGACACACAAACACACCGACACACGCACAGACACACCGACACACACGCACACGCAAACAAACACACACGCACACATAGACAAACACACACAAACAGACAGACAGACAGACAGACAGACAGACACACACACACACACACAGACGCACGCACAGAGACACACAGACACACGGACACAAAAACACACACACACAGACACACAGCCAGAAACACACACACAGACACACACACACATACACAGCCAGACAGACACACAGGCACAGACGCAGAGACATACACAGACACAAACACACAAACAATCACACGCACACACAGAGAGACACACAGGAAGACACACTGGCAGACACACAGACAGAAACACAGAGAGAAACACAGACAGACACAGACGGACACACACGCACATACAGACAGGCAGACACACAGACAGAAACACAGAGAGAAACACAGACAGACACAGACGGGACAGACAGACAGACAGACGGACGGACAGACAGACAGACAGACAGACAGACAAACAGACAGACAGACAGACAGAGGCGGAGAGAGACGGACACAGACAGACAGACAGAGGCGGAGAGAGACGGACAGAGACAGACAGAGACAAACAGAGACAGGCGGAGACAGACAGAGACAGACAGAGACAGAGAAAGACGGACAAAGACAGACAGAGCAGAGACACAGACAGACAGAGACAGGCGGAGACAAACAGAGAAAGACAGCGACAATCGGACACAAACAAAACTGACACAGACAGACACAGACAGACACAGACACAGACAGACACAGACAGACACAGACAGACACAGACAGACACAGACAGACACAGACAGACACAGACAGACAAAGACAGACACAGACAGACACAGACAGACACAGACAGACACAGACAGACACAGACAGACACAGACAGACACAGACAGACACACACAGACACAGACAGACACACACAGACACACACAGACACACACAGACACACTCAGACACACACAGACACACACAGACACACACAGACACACACAGACACACACAGACACACACAGACACACACAGACACACACAGACACACACAGACACACACAGACACACACAGACACACAAAGACACACACAGACACACACACACACACACAGACACACACAGACACACACAGACACACACAGACACACACAGACACACACAGACACACACAGACACACACACAAACACACACAGACAAACACACACAGAGACAGACACACACAGACACACACACACACAGACACACATAGACACACACACAGACACACACACACACGCACAGACACACACACAGAGAGAGACACACACAAACACACACAGACACAGACACAGACACACACACACACACACACAGACACACAGACACACCGACACACCTACACACAGACACACACACACACACCCACATGCACACACACACACACACCTGCTGGATGTGTGATGAAAACATGGCAAGCCGACTGTGCTGCCAATGATCACACACCACAATCTTCAATGCTAATGAATGCTAATTCAAGTTCTGCTTTTAGATACTTGTCGCCCGCGGTTGCACATGCATGCTTTCAGCTCAAAGAAGGATGCAAATTGCCTCTTATTGAGAGTTTTGCATAGACATGTCAAGCCCGCCTTGTTTCCCCCGCAGGACTACAATTTCAAGAGGTTACACTCCCTCCAATCAAGGAAGCTGACAGGAGGGCTTCGGAAGATGTTTGTCCTTTTGAGGAATCACCCGATCGTCCACTTCCATTGGAAAAAGGATGCAGTCACGGACAATATGCGCTCGGACACACAGCACAAGTCAGCGCCGGGACACATGCAGCCATTGGTGGCTGCATCTGGGATGGCAACCTCAATGACAAGGTTGCCAAAGGCAGGCGTGCCCACCACACCTAGAACACGCCAGTGTAGAAGAATGTTGCCTGACTGTTCCTGTAGCAGTATTTGAAGAGTTACCGTTGATGGTGCAAACATTGGGATAGCAAGTGGCAGCAACCGCTTGGTTTTCTGGTTTCTGTATTGTAGCCTACGTTCGCCTCTGCAACACGGAGCCACCAATTGTGACTGGCTTCCTATGATTGAGCATTCTATCATGGGGCATATAAGTACCACCAGCTAGCAACAGTTATGCAAACGGGGGAGGGGGCTCCGCCCCAGTGCAATATATCCCACATCCAGGCATCAAGCCCCTCCGGGTTGTGCTTCGGAACGCTAATCTCGCCTCTTTGCAGTCCACGGTCACTTGGGTTTTACTTTGGACCCGGTTAACTGGCGATTGTCGACAACACATGCAACAGGGCTGCCATGCTCAAAAGGCTCCGCTGTGTCATACAAGAATCAAAAGTCCAGTTGTGAGTCGTTTTGCGTCATGCCGGAGGCTCCTTGCCTGACCTCTCCAGGGTCGCTTTCACACTCCCCAAAGCATGCGGCATGCTCTGCCCAAAGCCCAGCAAATCCTGATGTTTGAAAATGCGACTTGTAGATAATGTTGCTGCAAAAAGTCATGTCCAGGAGCATCTTGAAGCCCGTTTGAAACACAAGCCCGTAGTCTGCATTCTTTTATTCCGCAGCGGCACTCCACATGACAGCTTGCAACGGCTGGTCCAGCAAAATGACACATATTGTGAAGGCCCCATCCACAACGAAAAACCGCCCTCACAGTTGCCAACAAAGGACACCTTCCCAGCAAGAGAGCCTTATTGCAAAACGTTGACTGAAAACTGCACCTAGCAACACATCCTGAATTGATGCGCAGGATTTGGCCCCTTCTGCATTTGTGCCCGGAACTGCAGGCATGGCGCGTCGCCCCATTTTGGCCTGGTAGGACTGTGGGCGCACCTGGACGCGGGCCCAATGCCTTCGTGCAAAGGCTGCGCACTTTAAGCAGTCGCCCGAACTATAGGAAAAAAACAACAACAAAACTCAATTGCGCTGGCCTTTGACGAAACAGCTCCGTAAATATGCATCTGGCGAGAGTTGAAACATTGACTGCTTGTTGGCTTACCCGGTACTCTCCTGCTTGAACTTACAAAATAATCTCAACAACATAATCCAAGCAAAGTAAACTCAATCTTCCGTTCTTCTCTCTCTCTCTCTCATTCGTGCGTTCCTTCCATTGGTTCTGCTGCTCGGTATCTCAATATGACCATGAACATCGGTGTTTCGGGGTGACCCAACGTTTCCTTTCCCCAAACGGAAAATCACTGCATTGCTGGGTCTCAGTCAGGTGGGAGGGAAACCAAGGCAGTCAGCTGGCCCGTTGCAATGTTGACAGCAACAAATGAAATTCCTGAGCATATTGCTGGATTCCATGACTCTGCAATTGAATATGGTGGGGTCTATCTTCAAAGCAAGGCCAAAGGCTGCCTCGGAATTGCCCACAGCACGTGGTTCCTTTTAAGATCATATGCACTGCCGGCCTTTGCACATAATCACGACGCCATCGGCATGGTTGAAGGCAATGGCGCCTCACAACTGCGACCATGACCAAAGGATCCCAAAGATGGAGGGCTGGTTGTGAGCAGCCTCCAAGACGATGTTTCAACAGGTGCAAGCCCAAGGCGCGTTCGACTGGAGGAAAACAGAGCGCCTACGTACACTTGACTATCAAAATGTTGACTGTCCACTATGCTTTCGTGGCCCACCCATCTTGCCAACGCTGCCCTGGCCCACCCATCTTGCAGACTCTCCCAAGAACTGCAAGCCTCGTGGCACCCGCCAGCTTTCCCACATATCTTCGCGCAGAATGTCTATGCTGACACCGTCTTGGCATACGCGGCCCATCTCCTGACGAACATGAAAGGAGAGCAACACGATCAAGTGGAAAGCGAACATGTATTTAAAGTACTAAAATTATGGTTGTCCTTTTAATCTCCCCCTTTGTTTTTAGGGGACGAGGTTGGAACAGCCATTGTGTAGTGAATAAATATTCATACATATATGTCATATATGCATATACAGGATTGGGGGACGGCTAAAGAGTCTACACAGAGAGGGGGGTACAAGGGCAGCTGCCTACATGACTGCGCGCTCGGGCGAGGAGGCACATGTTGATCCAGCAAGTGGGCAACAACGCCAAAAAGCTTGCATCCAATGTTCGGTACATGAGTGCTTCATCTCGAAGCAGCTTCCCACTCTTTTTCATGAAGCATTTTTTTTATAACCGTGGACGGCACCTGGCAACTGTTGCTGCCTGCCTTGAAGTGGGTCGGCGCTGCGATGTGCGTCGCCCAGCAGGAGGGAGGCCCAGCTCCATTTCTGGAGCAAACAAAGCAGCTGTCGATGCTCACCTGACGCCTCCAGGCAATCAACGCGCACAACTCACCAAAAGCCTCTGAAAGTGGCATATTCTCGCTTGCCGCAAGGACCTGGGAACAAAAGGCTAACCTTTTGGGACCTTTACTGAAATTGGATCAACACAGGGAGACCAAAAGGTCAAAAGGTCGGC